TGCAGCTGGTCACGCAATGGCAGGACGTGGAGGAGCCTCGGAGACGAAGCACTATCGGCCAGCACCAGCACCAGCATCAGCACCAGCAACAGCGACAGCGCAGAAACGCCTGCTCAATGCTCGTCGAGTCGCCGGCCTTGGCGACCGCCATGTTGCGCCAGGGCGCTGCCATGAGTCCGTGCGAGCTCGACCCGCTGATCGTGCCGTCCAGCCAAGTCGGTACGTCGAACTGGTTAGCATCAAATTCGTTTTTCGTGCGCGTTTGCAGTCGAGGGGGAAAGTCAAGTGTGGCCTGAAATCGAAGGAAGTACATGACTTGAGAGCGAATTCCGTCGAAAGGGGAACCGCCCATTCCAGCTCAGGTTGGCGGGACGGACAAAAACCCAACTTTTACACTCGCAAGTCTGTACTACTTATTTTTCGTGTGTAAGTAGTGTTTTGAGACTACCAGTAAATCAGTAATATTAGATGTTCTCACCCTATTTCGTTTAAGGTGATGAAGGACTGGTTGTAGACGTTTTCCACAATGACATGAGTAGTGCTGACATTTCTTTTGAAATTCACAGAACCTTACTTTCCCAAAAGTACCAGTGAAATGCAGTTTCGACCTCGCATGTGTCTTATCAACACCCGCAGCGGGAGTCGAATGTGAGCTTGACACGTTAACCACTCGGCCACAGTTTGCTATAGCAACCGACTACGTTACTTATTTTTCGTATGTAAACAGAGTTTCGAGACTACCAGTAAATCAGTTATATGTGACATTTTCACCCTAATTCGTTATGGGAAAGCAAGGCTATGTGCAATTGAATGGAAGCGTCAGCTCTACTTATATCATTGTGAGAAGATTATACTAACAGTATTTGATAATCTTAATCAAAATTGGGTGAATACATCTCATATTACTGATTTACTGGTAGTCTCGAGACAATACTTCCATACGAAAAATAAGTAACCTAGTCTATTGTTATAGCGAATATTCGTTGCTTCATCGACAATCCCACCTTCCTTAAAATTCACATCGGCCCTGTGACGCAAGGACACTCGTGGCAATGTGACCGAGTTGTCAAAATGTCAAGCTCACATACTACATGGTCACGGTTCGACTCCCGTTGTGGGTGTTGATAAGAACTATGCGATATCGAAACTGCAGTAAATGGTGCCTGGATGAAAGCAACTTTTGGTAAAACAAGGCTCTGTAAACTTTCAAGGAAATGTCAGCTCTACGCATATCGTCGTGAGAAAATTCTACTACCTTAAACTAAATAGAGTGAAATCATCCCATATTACGGTACCACTAGGCCTCC